AAACATCCTCATAAACAACCGAAATAAGATCCCACACATTAATTGAAACTGAGAATTCCTAATAATGCAAACTCAAGCCTACTAGAGACAATGATTCCATAACCAACGAATCAAGAGTACACATACCCAAATACCAAGATATACATCTTAGAAAACTTGAGTAAGCTTTGACACATCCACTGCACCTTCCACTAGTACTCCTTGGAGACCCTCATATGACTCTCATATGCCAACGAGGAATGAAAAGACAAATCGATCGGAAATGTATTGAAAACTGTGACATCCCCAATTTCACGGCCAGAAAATACCGATTTGTTTATGATTTGTTTTTAAAATCAAAGTAATCGTTTAAAGAGAAGTATTTTCATTATATAACAAAATCTCGGGATGTCATGTTCCGATACAGACACATAAGCATAAACAAAACTTACATTTATTTACACTAATGATTTACATCTCCTTTAATCCCTCAGTAAAATATGTCTTCGTATTGATACCTGTGATACAAAGAAAAATGAGTGGGTCAAGCTTAGGAGCCTGGTGAGCATATTAGGTTTCTAACCCATAATAATATAATTATTATATTTAATCAGCAAACAATCAACCTAATTACCCATCCACATTATCTTCTTTATTTCTTAAGGTTTTACCCTAAGAACCAATTATCCTTCATTCATTCATTCCTAAGGATTTACCTACGGAATTGACACGAAGTCCATGGCTACTAAATTTAATCTATTAGGTACTAAATCCATAGCTATCAGGCGCTAACTCCATAGTCACCAAGGTTCACTTAACAAGCGCTAACTCCATAGTCGCCAAGGTTTACTCAACGTGCTCTAACTCCATAATCGTTAAGGTTCATCAAATAGGCACGAAGTCACATTGTCGCCAAGGTTTATACAATAAGCGCTAACTCCATAGTCACCAACTATCCCATCTACCCATGTTCTACCCAACATTGTCGTAGATATAAATACTTACACAGTTTAGATCATTTAACACCTGTATAAAACTTCAATTCCACGCCCATCTCAAATATAAAAATAATATATAAAAACATAGCACGTATTTCATAGCAAATACTTCGTATTTATGTGTTAGAAAAAAGTAACTACACACTCACTTGATCAAAAGATGATCGGAAAGCACTACGACTTGTAGAGGTAGTATTCTTCGGTAGATCTGGAAGATCTTCACAAAAATTGGCTTCTCGCGGGCAGAGCTTCGGCTCGGGAATCTCACTTTTCGGGATCCTTGGGACTTTGGAACTTGTTTCGGGGCTTGGGAATGATATCGGGGCTTCGGGATATTTCTTGAATACAAAACGATGCAAAAATGAGAGAGCGAGAGCGAGAGAGAGAGAGAGAGAGAGAGAGAGAGAGAGAGAGAGAGAAGAGTTTAAGCAAAAGAAATCAGCTCCCTTCGCATGCTATTTATAGGGGCTGAATTTCGTTGTTACATTGGGCGTAATTTCGAAGTACACTCGGTGTACTCGGTACGCTAGGCGTACTAAGCCCTACGTTAGGCGTACACATCGAATCAGACTTCCAGATGGAGAAGTCTCGGTGAAGTGGCGTGGTTGAAGCTGGACCGAGCAATACAGTTGTATGTGGGGTGTACTCCTAGGTACGTTGGGCGTACCCTTCGGATAAGACCGATGACTCCTCGGTTTCGGATATTATCCGAATTAAAATAAATATATTTTAATTATTTAAAAACTTTCTGAAATTCATTTATTTAAAAACTTCTGAAATTCATATCTTCCTCAAATCGAGTATTCGGGTTGCACTCCGCTAAGTCAAAACTTAGAAAAATCATAACTTCCTCATACGAAGTCAGATTTGGACGTTCTTTTTATGCACGCTCATGGTTTCACGAACTCTACAACTTTCGTTTAGACCTCTAAGGCTAAATATCGCTCCAACGTAAATTCACTTTTTACGTCGCGCTGTGCCGGTTCGGTCGTGAAACTTCGACAGGTCATAACTGCTTCGTTATAACTCGGATTTCGGCGTTCTTTATATGTACAGAATCCTTGTAACATATAGTACAACTTAGTTAATATTATTCCTTTAAAATAACCTCTTATCAAAAAGTCATTTTTGATGCTTATTGTCCTTAAATTGACTAGCCCTAATCTACGGGGGTTACGAAAACTAAACCCAACGATCCCACACATACTGAACAAATTCCATGAGAAAATACCCTAAGAAAACTTTGAGGCCAACCAAAAAATCAATAATTATCCATCTCAACCAAAGATAACCAATCGATACCGTGAGTTAATCGTCTTCTCTATATATTATACCTAACCCGAGCAATTCCAACGATCCTTTCTTAAAATCCATGGCGCTTCCAGTAAGGACTATGGACGACAATGAGATTCCTACCCATCAGATTCCTACTGAGAGAACAACATATGCATTCTTGAAGATATAAGCCTAACAACAACTTGCTCTACACTGCAATATGACAAATCATTAAACTCTTCACGACCATGGAGGATATCAATGGACCCTTGATAAACACCACGAGAAAACTTCCTAACCACTAGTATTGCAATGGTAGCCCAATTTTTTCCTCTTATGCAACAATAACCCCGCACCAAAACCTCACACACTTGAATTGTAGGTTCCACCGACCCATTACACAGAACCCACAAAAATTGAAAAAAATGATGGTCTTTCAAACAGGATACCTAGTTCTTCCCCACTTAGGATTAGAACTATTATTGACTAACATGTGCAATCCCAAAGCCTTACATCAGCTCAATCAAGTACACACCAACATTGACTCTCGGTATGAAAAATGACATATGAATATCCTTCAAATAATAACCAACCAACCATAGTTACACAATAGAGCCAAATCAAGCAATCTAAAACTGTTTAATATTTATGGCTTGCAACCTAACATATTAGTTTAATAGTTAACTATCATCAATATAGGTCTCACATTACACAAAGTAAGCAGCATCCGAGCAGCGAAACCGACTGCCAATAAGGCATCATAAATATCAGGCAATCCTCACACGCAATTCCTAAAGATCCTTACCCTAGTCACTATATGGCATCTGTACCAATTTACAAATCATGCATAAAAGGCATCTCTCCTAGGCAGACATTCTAGCATGCATCCATGAGAAGATCCTTATTCTAAATTCTAGCATGCATATCATACTATAACACGTATAACATATCCATATGTATGGGTATTTTTGGGAATCACTTGCTTAAGCTCAAATGATGGCATGCATCACACCCCTTTCTTTATAAAAACCTTTTTAGAAAAAATTGGTCTCTTTTAAAAAAATTTATCAAATCCTCAGTTTAAGTTCAAACACACCCGAGAGTATTCTCAAGTCCTTCAAACCAAGGCTTTGATATCAACTTTTAACGTCCCGATTTTCAAACCATTTGATTCAAAAGCATTTATCAGATTATTGTCAAAAGTTATTATATATGGAAATCTCCAATGGATGCAATGCAATCGAGGCGTACCCCTCCTAAGTATAAGATTACTTGAAACATTTAAACCACAAATCGTGAGTTGTAGCTCCCCGACTCCCAGGTATATTTTAAAAGCTTTTTACTCTTTTTATTGAAGGAACTCAACGAGTTAGAGGCCCTAAATCATCGTGTCGAACCTATACCCGCGTGATTTTATGACTTCTACTCGACGAGTCGGAGGACCCCGACTCGACGAGTAGAGGTTGTGCATCGAAACCTTAAATTTAGGGTTTGCACCCCTATTTAAAGAACTTATGCGTTTCGAGCCTCCCTTATCGTCATTACAGCCAGGGGGAAACCCTAGATCAAGTCCTGAACCCCCAGTGTGTGTGTTGAGAGCTTGAAAGGTGTCATTTGTTGATCTTCGAAGGGAAACATCAAGAGTGAGGAGCTTTGATCGAAAATGAGGAAGTGGATATGTCATCTACTTCGTTTTGGCAATTAACTTGAGGTAAAAAGCTAATACCTTGACCCTTTCATACTTAGATCTTCTTCTATGGACATTTATGGTCATTTTTGGGGTTTAATGGAGCCACCCTTTGGTTTGAGCTTGTCACAAGGACACGATCTCAAATCTGGACTCCTCTAGGTCCCAAATTCATAAAGCTATCAACATTATCTTGTATTGACCTCTCACCATGCCCTAAACCTCACTCTAGACTTGGTTTTGGTGTTCTAAGACTTTAAGACCTTGCATGTATGTAAATTTGCAACTTTACGTGGAATATATGTCCCTTAGGAAGCTAGATCTACAACCCGGAGCTTTGGGGTATTTAGTCTTTAGCCCATTAGGGTTTGGTTCCTTAGCTAGTATTTATTCATCTTTTTCATGTTTGTAGCTCTTAGACTTTCTAATGAAGAACTAGCACTTTCTCTCTTTCAATACATGAATGTTATTCTATTATCACATCAATATACTTGGAGATTACTGGCTGTGCTACTTATACTTGGTAAAAGCATTTCATGCTTTTGGGATGATAGATAATATGCGCTTTAGAGAAAATTACCAACGGTCTCACTGTCATAGAATTAAACTAGTAACTAATTTAATGATATGTAACATATAGTGAAAGACTAGTTCAATCTCAATATATTTTTCTTTTTTATTCCAATGTTTTTGCTCAATTTAATAAAATATACTTGTCTTAGATATTTTTACAATTTTACTGGTGAGTTGGGAGATTAAGCATGGTACAAAGTTGAACAAAGCAAATATGTGAGAGAAACAGTAATTGATACTTTTAATCGCAAGATGCAGCCGTTGGTAAGTTTGTAATAGATTAAAGCTTATGCCGACAGGACTGTTAGTTTAAACTTTGTTGCTAGGAATCAATTGAAACAAAGTAAAAACAATAAATAACTAGAACAATGGCCGGCAGTAAATTCTCAGATTACAATGCGAATTTGGCTCATGTAGGAAACATATCGTAGTAATTTATCTGAATCTTTGGATATAAATATCAATGTCAAGAACTTAGATCAGGTATCCCAGTATCTTCATCTTTCTTGCTAAAGAAGGAACTGAAACTCATAACACCATGGCCAAGAACGCTTCCTTGTTTGTGAAGATGGCAGCAGTACTCTCACTTTTCCTGATGCTCATTGTATTGTCAGAAAGCAGAGTCACCCTAATCGGTAAGTCCTTTAGTTTCCAGCTTTTTAAGTGCTACCAAAATCACAACGTTTTCTTGTTTTAATTTCCATATTGACACATGGATGAATGTTTTGATTAATGGGATCGTGAACACACAGACGGTGTCCAGAAGGCAAAATCAGCCCTTGTGTGCAGCCAAGTTGTCGGTGTTGAAGCTGGCGATGATTGCACCATCATTAGCAAAGAGTTTGGGATGAGTTTGGCATCGTTTTTGGCAATTAATCCCAACATCAATTGTGAATCCGTCTTTGTGGGTCAATGGGTTTGTATTGATGGAAGTGCCTAATTCATCAAGCTCTAAATCTAGTTGCATGAAATATCCGAATGAATAAATTTCTGGATAGACTTGCGTTTGCTCCAGTTTGATGATATTGCTTAATTTGTACTACTAAAATAAGAAAAAAATAATGAATCTTTAGATCGATTCATATCATATTGTTATGTTATATTGAATGTATTCTCATTTTTCAAGATTTGAGTATAATTCATATCATATTGTTATGTTATATTGAATGTATTCTCATCGTGCAACTTTGCTTTGAAAATATATATATTTTACGTACGATTCTCTATTATAATGTTTGCTAACCAAAATGCGAAACCTTGCTCATGCACATGAGGATAATGAATCTTTAAGGCTATTGTAGATTAATTTGGTCAAATGGTTAAGTTTGAGTTTTGGTTTTTTTAAACGGCAAATCGAATCAACTTCTAAGCGGAACACATCCATTTGAACCGAGGTGGCGAAACTTGAACTTATTAATAAAATTATATAGACAAATTTAACCTACAATTATTATTATTTTCATATTTATATAGAGTAAATTTTTACAAACATTTTATTAATAATAGATCTTTAGAAATTTATGTATTCTACTAGAGATATGAAATATAGTAACAAAAAAATAAACAATAAAATTTTATAACTTCAAAATTAATATAATTCGATCTAGTAAAATGTACTCGATTAAATCATTAAAATATGATCTATTTTTTAAACTTCAACATAAAGCTAGTGTAGAAAATTTGGTCTATTAACTTGAATTCACTAATCACTAAGTATGAATATTTTATAAAGTATTTTAATTTGTAATATATCTCAATCACATAAAAAATTATTTTTAATTGTACTTCAACATAGAGACTTTAACCCTACCCATACACAACTACATTACTTGTTTCTATGTTTTATCGAGACTTATCATATGAAGTTATTCATATAGGATACAAATAAGATTGCTGAATGGGTTTGAGAGTGTGAGATTATCGTTTAAATCAATTTTCATTTTGCTAAAGTTTACGAAGATAGTCATGCTTTTTCTACAATTAGATAATATAATTACTTTTAGTCTTGTAGATACAAACCTTTGAGGGATCGATTACTTTAATTTTTAGATAATTAGAATCAATGGTTCTATAACAATGGATACTAACCGGTTAAAAACGTTGGGGGGCCATGCCCCCCCTAAGCCCCTTCCATGTTCCGCTATAGCTTTTAAATCTACATGTATCCCGGATGGTACTTGAACCTCAATCTCAAGGAAGGAGGGCAATATCTGATACTGTTGAGCTAGAATGACTTATAAATTTAAGAAACCGCAACATGGTTTTTGCCATGTAGTCATTTCTGTCTATCGTAACGCAAATGCCCTCACAAAAAAATCAAATAAAATCATGCACCAGAATAATACATTTCCATACAATAAAATACATTCTATGTAAAGACTAGACGAATTCTCGCGCATTATGCGATGCAGGTTAAAAATATGTTGTTAGAAATATAGTTTTCAGACACGTTTTAGTTAATTCGATTCATCAATTTATGTTCTTTTATTATTATTATATTTAATATTTTCCTTTTAACTATTTTAAAAAACATATATTGATTTTTTTAAACATTATTTGATATTTTGTTTTAGGTTTTAAATTTTACACTAAATTTCTAAACTTATTTGATATATTAATGTAGGTTATTTATTTAACTATATATTGAAGTTAACAAATTAAGTATATTTACAACTAAAAGTATATTTAAGTTAATAAATTAAGTATATTGTATGGAATATGAAAAGTTGGGAGTTTCAAATGAATGTGATGAAAAAAAAATATTTCTTTTATAATATAGTATGATATGATGTGTTTAAAATATGTATATGATAACGGATTATCTTATGTACATGTGTTGTATCAATTTAGTTAGCCCATTATGTGAGTATTATTTAGTTTGTATAGGCCAATGTAACTTGTTTTTATTCAGATTTGGCAATTCAATACAGCAAGGTGAAAATCATTCACCATATCATGGTATCACAGACCTACTCTTTTATCTCCTAAAATCTCTCCTTGCTTTTCTCGTTCTTTTCTTCTTGCCTACTTCATCTACTTTTCCGATTTGAACCCTAATCTTGCACTATGTCAGGCGACAAAACTTCTCCTTTTACCCATAAATCATATGTTGTAACCTATATCAAATCATATGTTCCCTTAGTTCTGGATCTTACCACCTGTACTTATGATCCATGGAAGGACCTGTTCACCGCATCACATATGATGTTACCGATCACATAGATAATTCCTATGATGCTCCTAGCAAATCTCCCACCAATGAAGAATGGAACAACATCGACTCCACGATCAAACTGTGGCTTTTTGGGTCAATTTCATAGTCTCTTATGTTCACTCTCCCAACGCTTCTGCTTAGAAATTTTGGCTCAACATCGAAGCACTCTTATGTGAAAACATCGATGCCACGACCCTCCAACTCGAAACCAAACTCAGAAGTATCTCAATGGGGGATTTATCAGTTCATGATTACTGCATCAAAGTCAAAAAGATTTTTGATCTACTAGAAGGACTCGGCAAACATGTGAAGCAAAAACACAGTGTCATTCATGCTATAAATGGTTTGTCTAGTAAATTAAATACATACCAAACCCTTCCCCACTTTTTCACAAATGTGATCCATGATCGGGGTTGAAGAACAGCGCCTTCGTACTACCTGTGTTCCCTCTCCATCTCATGATCATCACACACCTGCTCTGTCTTTGTACATGTTGGAAACTAGTCATCAAACCGTAGTGGTGGTAGCTCCAACAATTACCGTTGAAATGAAAGACAGGGCCACAACACCAGTTACAATAAGTGTCATCTCCAACAGGGCCGGTCCATGAGGGGAGGGCAACTTGGGTGACCGCCCCGGCCTTGCCAAATCTTGGGGCCCTTAATAATTAGTGTGTATATATATATATATATATATATATATATATATATATATATATATATATATATATATATATATATATATATATATATATATATATATATATATATAGTTTTAGTATATGAAATATAAGTTGAAAAAAGTAAACAAAAGGCACCTGTAGATGATATGGTTGAGCGGCATTAATAGAAGAAGAGGAGGCCTGATTGCTTGAGTTTGAACCTCTTCAACTACATTAAATTTTTATCACTTATCTTTTTATATAAAAGAAAACCAAGGTCTGATTGCGTTAGTTTGAAACTCTTCAACTATATGTATTTTTTTATCACTAATTTTTTTATATCTTAAACCTTCATATGGATATTTTTTTATTACTTTTTTATCACGCATGTTTTATGCTTGTCGAGCTTTTTCTCTCCTTTCGTTTGGTGATGAGATACCCGTATTTTTTATTTAACATAATGATTGCTAACTGATTGATCTGTTTTAGTTTTCTTATGACAGAAAATAGGATTTGGGTTATATCACCGATATCAAATATCGATTTCTTTTTTAATTTAAAAATTGCTAACTTTACGATTGAGCTATGTTTATTCATATGTTTGGGTATAACACTGAATCGATGGAAATTTCTAACGTTATTTTACAATTAGCCTGATATTCCTTTAGTAGTAGTTGTTTGATGTCTGGATGAAAAATGTCAAAGTGGAATTTCCTTTTGAGATAATGGAAAAAATGTTGTTGTTATTGTTTGCTTATATAGTTCTATATGGAGCTAATATTCACAAAATGGTATTGTTCACAAAGACTTAAATATTTTCTATCAAATGGGATTGAATTATGTCACTTTTTCCAAGATTAAATTTTTCATTGCCACTGTGTTTTGGATTGCATTATTTATTTTAGGCTATTGTTGCTTAATGTGTTTTTTTTTTCCTTTAGGATCTGATAATCAGATTTGAAGCCTAAAGTTTATTGAAAGTTATGATGTTTTTTCTAATATTTTGCCTTCAATCCTTGGAGAACATTCTTATTTTTTTAATTTGTATTTGCAAGCTCCCTGCCTGTCGTTTAATATAAAAAATATATTGTCGTTCAAAAACAATAAATATCTAAAATTTAAAGGGCCTCAATTTTTGCTTTTGCCCCAGGCCCTAAATCGGCTTGGACCAGGGCTGATCTCCAACCACAGTCTCCAAACTCCACACGCGCACCACCTTCAAGCAATTGGTATGGGTGGGTATATTCTCCACCACCGACACATGCTTCAAATCCAACATGGACTTCTCATCCGTTGAATCAGCCAACAATATTGGCCATACACACAACAACAACACTTTCAGCCTAGTTATTCCTAGGGACAACCAAATTTAGCTTCAAATGGAATCCTTGGCATTGACCAATACAGGCCAACCAAGCAGCCTACATGATTTTGTGCAGCCCAATAGTCCTGATCAGCTCCCTTGGCCTTGGTTGGGCAGACCGAATCAGCCACCTCATTGTCAAACATGTTTAACACGACGACTTTGAATGACTTTGAATGACTCGGGAACTAGAGGATAGGTTATGGACACCAGGGCAACCGATTATGCTCATGCAAACGCATGTATCCTAAATTCCTTTTGAAATACTCCATATACACCCCATTCTATTTAAGTTGGTAATGGTTCTACAATACCTATTACGACCTCAAGACATACAGCCTTTCCAATTCCAAATTTATGTCATCCATTACACTTGTAAAACGTCCTCATAAAACCCAATATTATTAATCTCATATTTATTCGCAAATTTACCACTCAAAATAATTGCTCTATTGATTTTGACCCATTTATTTTAAAGTTCTTTATTATCAAACACATCCACCTCTCATCCGATGTGACAGTTTTGGGCCCTTTTATCCAGTCACAAGTTCCTAAAGTCATGTTTTTGTCTCCAGCAGCTCCACCACTTGGTATCAACAACTTGGTCATCCCGACGATCAAGTGTTGAAATATTTATTTTCTAATAGTTCTATTTCTAATAGTTTACCAGAAAATAATGTAATTTGGCAAGCGTGTCAACTTGGCGCACACACTAGACTTCCGTTTTATCTTACCAATTTTGTTGTTTTTGCACCTTCTGAAATTATTCATTCAAACTTGTGGACATCTCTTGTTTCTAGTATTGGTGGTTTACAATATTATGTCTTATTTATTAATCACTATACTCATTATCTTTGGGTTTATCCTCTTAAAAATAAATGATAAGTCTTTCAAAAAATTACATCTTTCTAACATCATTAAAAACCAATT